AATATGGAGCCAGAAGTGCGCAAATAATTAAAATGAGACCCCCAAGTTATGTGAGGTTGAGGTTAACCTGAGGACGTCTCTTATTTATACTTGTTGACATGAAGCCAAGAATTCTATTGTCTTTATTGTGAACACTGACGCACTGTTGTCTTGGCTTTATTGTGAACACTGACGCACTGTTGTCATTGGCTTTTTGTGAACACTGACGCACTGTTGTCATGGCTTTATTGTGAACACTGACGCACTGTTGTCATGGCTTTATTGTGAACACTGACGCACTGTTGTCATGGCTTTATTGTGAACACTGACGCACTGTTGTCATGGTTTTATTGTGAACACTGACGCACTGTTGTCTTGGCTTTATTGTGAACACTGACGCATGTTGTTTTTGGCTTTATTGTGAACATGACGCACTGTTGTCTTGGCTTTTATTGTGAACACTGACGCACTGTTGTCTTTTTGGTTTTTTTGTGAACACTGGGCGCACTGTTGTCATGGCTTTATTGTGAACATGATGCACTGTTGTCTTTGGGTTTATTGTGAACACTGACGCACTGTTGTCTTGGCTTTTTGTTTAACACTGACGCACTGTTTTTCTTTGGGTTTATAGTGAACACTGACGCCCCTGTTGTCATGGCTTTATAGTGAACACTGACGCACTGTTTCTCATGGCTTTATAGTGAAAACTGACGCACTGTTGTCTTGGCTTTATAGTGAACACTGACCACTGTTGTCATGGCTTTATAGTGAACACGACGCACTGTTGTCATGCTTTATAGTGAACACTGACGCCTGTTGTCTTTGGGTTTATAGTGAACACTGACGCACTGTTGTCATGCTTTATAGTGAACACTGACGCACTGTTGTCATGGCTTTATAGTGAACCCCTGACGCACTGTTGTCTTTGGGTTTATAGGGGAACACTGACGCACTGTTGTCATGGCTTTTAGTGAACATGATGCACTGTTGTCTGGCTTTATAGTGAACACTGACGCACTGTTGTCTTGGCTTTATAGTGACACTGAGCACTGTTTGTCATGGCTTTATAGTGAACACTGACGCACTGTTGTCATGGCTTTATAGTGAACACTGGACGCAACTGGTTGTATGCTTTTAGTGAACACTGACGCACTGTTGTCATGGCTTTATAGTGAACACTGACGCACTGTTGTCTTGGCTTTATAGTGAACAAATGCGCACTGTTGTCATGGTTTATAGTGAAAAACTGAGCACTGTTGTCATGGCTTTATAGTGAACACTGACGCACTGTTGTTCTTGGCTTTATAGTGAACACTGAAAGCACTGTTGTCATGGGTTTATAAATTTAACACTGACGCACTGTTGTCATGGCTTTATAGTGAACACTGACGCACTGTGGTCATGCTTTATGTGAAACATGACGCACTGTTGTCATGGCTTTATAGTGAACATGTCGCACTGTTGTCTTGGCTTTATAGTGAACACTGACGCACTGTTGGGCATGGCTTTATAGTGAACACTGACGCACTGTTGCATGGCTTTATAGTGAACACTGACGCAAATGTTGTCATGGCTTTTAGTGAACACTGACGCACTGTTTCATGGGTTTATAGTGAACACTGACGCACTGTTGTCATGGTTTTATAGTGAACACTGACGCACTGTTGTCATGGCTTTATAGTGAACACTGACGCACTGTTGTCATGGCTTTTATTGTGAAAACTGACGCACTGTTGTTGGCTTTATAGTGAACACTGACGCACTGTTGTCATGGCTTTATAGTGAACACTGACGCACTGTTGTCTTGGCTTTATGGGGAACACTGACGCACTGTTGTTTATGGCTTTATTGTGAACATGACGCACTGTTGTCATGGCTTTTAGTGAACACTGACGCCACTGTTCTCATGGCTTTATTGTGAACACTGACGCACTGTTGTCTTGGCTTTATTGTGAACACTGACGCACTGTTGTCATGGCTTTATAGTGTAACACTGACGCACTGTTGTCTGGCTTTATTGTGAACACTGACGCACTGTTGTCTTTGGGGTTTTAGTGAACACTTTACGCATGTTGTCATGGCTTTATTGTGAACACTGACGCACTGTTGTCATGGCTTTATTGTGAACACTGACGCACTGTTGTTTTGGCTTTATAGTGAACACTGACGCACTGTTGTCATGGCTTTATAGTGAACCCCTGACGCACTGCTGTCATGGCTTTATTGTGAACACTGACCCCAATGTTGTCTTGGCTTTATAGTGAACACTGACGCATTGTTGTCATGGCTTTTTTTGTGAACACTGACGCATGTTGTCATTGGCTTTATTGTGAACACTGACGCACTGTTGTCTTTGGGTTTATTGTGAACACTGACGCACTGTTGTCTTGGCTTTATTGGAACACTGACGCACTGTTGTCTTGGCTTTATGTGAACACTGAGCACTGTTGTCTTGGATTTATTGTGAACACTGACGCATGTTGTCTTGGCTTTATTGTGAACACTGACGCACTGTTGTCTTGGCTTTTATTGTGAACACTGACGCACTGTTGTCTTGGCTTTATGTGAACACTGACGCAGTTGTCTTGGCTTTATAGTGACACTGACGCACTGTTGTCATGGCTTTATAGTGAACACTGACGCACTGTTGTCAATGGCTTTATAGTGAAAACTGACGCACTGTTGTCATGGCTTTATAAAAGGGAAAACTGACGCACTGTTGTCATGGCTTATTGTGAACACGACCCCACTGTTGTCTTGGCTTTATTGTGAACATTGACGCACTGTTGTCATGGCTTTATTGTGAACACTGGCGCCCCTGTTGTCTTGGCTTTTTTAGTGAACACTGACGCACTGTTGTCTTTTGGGTTTATTGTGAACACTGACGCACTGTTGTCATGGGCTTTATTGTGAACACTGGGGCCACTGTTCTTGGCTTTATAGAGAACACTGACGCACTGTTGTCATGGCTTTATAGGAACACTGGGCGCACTGTTGTCTTTGGGTTTATAGTGAACACTGGCGCACTGTGTCTGGCTTTATAGTGAACCTGAGACTGTTGTCATGGCTTTTATAGTGGGAAAACTGACGCACTGTTGTTTTTGGCTTTATAGTGAACACTGACGCACTGTTGTCATGGCTTTATTCTGAACCTGACGCACTGTTGTCTTGGCTTTTAGTGGAACACTGACGCACTGTTGTCTTGGGGTTTATAGTGAACACTGACGCACTGTTGTCATGGCTTTTAGTGAACACTGACGCACTGTTGTCATGGCTTTATAGTGAACACTGACGCACTGTGTCTTGGCTTTATAGTGAACACTTTGGGGTACTGTTGTCATGGCTTTATTTGTGAACATGAGCACTGTTGTCATGGCTTTATAGTGAACACTGACGCCTGTTGTCTTGGCTTTATAGTGAACACTGACGCACTGTTGTCATGGCTTTATTCTGAACACTGACGCACTGTTGTCTTGGCTTTATAGTGAACACTGACGCACTGTTGTCTTGGCTTTATAGTGAACACTGACGCACTGTTGTCTGGCTTTATAGTGAACCTGACGCCATGGTTGTCTTGGCTTTATAGTGAAACTGAGCACTGTTGTCTTGGCTTTATAGTGAACCCCTTTATGCACTGTTGTCTGGCTTTATAGTGAACACTGACGCATGTTGTCTTGGCTTTTATAGTGAACACTGACGCACTGTTGTCTTGGCTTTATAGTGAACACTGACGCACTGTTGTCTTGGCTTTAAATTACTGCTAACCAGAATTCCTAAATCTTTTCTTTAGTTTATAAGTGCCATGGTTATCTCTTTTCCCGATTACAAACTTTACATTGTCGACATTCACAGCATCTGCCATAATGGAAATAAGTCATCTGTCTGGGCTTTTTTGGGTTATGCTAGTTTTCTCTTCACATAGGGTGTATGGAGTAATTCTTTGTAACTGTTTTGTTTTATACCTGAATCACTTACTTACTCCCGACCACAACATCAACCCGTCTAGGCATTCCGTAGCTGTTTTGTGTCCTCACAGAAATTTGCTGACGCGAGAAGATACTCATATCCCCACCTGGAAGATACAGGGGGGATTGGTCGCAAACTTGCGCACTGAATTACACTTACGAAAAAAAGATAGGCTTGGTTTTACATGAAGGTACTATCAATGAAATTAAATAAACGTTTAACAATCTGAGCACTCTTATACTTTCTACTACAAATACTACTACTTGTAGTTTAGTAGTAGTAGTAGTAGTAGTAGTAGTAGTAGTAGTAGTAGTAAAGAATAGTATATTATAATTGATTTCTTCCTCCAGTTGTTCGTTCTAATGAAATGAACATTACAAAGAACAGTATTAGTTACACAAGAAGAACGAACATGTCTAACCTGAGGTCTTGTGTTCACTCTCTTGTGGTCGTGTTGATGATTATCCTATCGTCGTGTTGACTATCCTATCGTCGTGTTGACTATCCTATCGTCGTGTTGACTATCCTATCGTCGTGTTGACTATCCTATCGTCGTGTTGACTATCCTATCGTCGTGTTGACTATCCTATCGTCGTGTTGACTATCCTATAGTCGTTTTGACTATCCTATAGTCGTGTTGTTGACTATCCTATAGTCGCGATGTTGACTATCCTATGACCTCATGTAGACTACAACACGGGGTCAAGCGTCCGTGTTGACCACTCTGCTAGAGTCACGTGTTCCCCATTAGGGTCAGAGGCAGTGTTGTTGTCTCTCAATTCATTCCCCATTCTCCCCATTCCTTCGCTCTCCCACCTTACCCATTCTACCTCTCCGTTTTCCCCACCTTCCCCACACTGAGGTCTGTCACGCCCCGCCCCCCCCCCCTCCGCCCACACTTTCCTATGATTGGCTCTCAGGGTGAGGAAACTCCGCCTCCCTTCCCTTGTGGTCACTGTCTCTCCCCCCCCCCCGTGTCAAAGGTCATGTCAGTACCTTCCAACAGATAGAGCGTCCAGCGTCTTCTAAGAAGTCTTGAGGGAGACACGGAGGTCATGGATAGTCAAAGCTCGACTGACAAAAGGTCAAGATTCAGCTTCAGCATCGACAGCATCCTGAAGCGCGAGTCTCTGAGACTTCCTTCTTCAGCGTCGCTGGCGGGAGTGGACGACGCCACGCAAGACCCGCCGAAGATAAGACCGGTTCCGCTATGGCTGCTGACGGAAGAGGCAGCTGCTGACCCGCCGGGACCTGTTACATCGCCGCCGTCAGCTTCCAGGGAGCCCCTGACTCTCCCTGAGGAACCTACGTCTTCAGCCAGTGTTTCCAGGGGCCCTCTGACTCTCCCTGAGGGACCTGCGTCTTCAGCCAGTGTTTCCAGGGGCCCTCTGACTCTCCCTGAGGGACCTACGTCTTCAGCCAGTGCTTCCAAGGAGCCCCTAACTCTCTCAGAGCAGGCTAAGTCTTCAGCCAGTGCTTCCAGGGGGCCCCTGACTCTTCCCGAGCGACCTAAGTTTTCAGTCACAACTTTCAGGGGGCCCCTGACTCTTCTTGAGCGACCTACTCCGTCAGCTAGTGGTCATCATCCCATCGGCCACCGCAATCAGCGGATCTCGGCTCCGGAAATCTCCACGACTCACGACCAAGGTGAGTTAGCTGGGTGGCCAGAGGCTTGTAGATCACATCCGTACTTTCCACGACTTGTCGCTACTGTCGGGACAGTAGTGGTTCCTGGCACCGTCACTCTCAGGCGCCACAAGCCCAATAGGAAGCCACGGACTCCCTTCACCTCGGAACAACTGCTGACGCTGGAGAAGAAGTACCGTGAGAAGCAGTACCTAAGCATCGCTGAGCGGGCAGAGTTCTCCGCCTCGCTCAACCTGACGGAGACGCAGGTCAAGATTTGGTTCCAGAACCGCCGCGCCAAGGACAAGCGCCTGAAGGAAGCCGAACTGGAGCGACTGACAAGGCCTTTGTACCCGGCCTACGGCGGCCTCCTGCCCTTGGGAGGCCACCTGCCCTCCCTCCACCTACGTCAGCCTCTCGTCTCCCTCTTGGGGTAACATTTGGATATATCTCAGTATCTTACACTGACTCATGTAGAAGCGACACTCCCCTGTAAGTAGTTCTTAATCAGTGGGTATGTCATGCATTTCCTCCTCAGTGGGAGGACTTTGCAACCGTAAGCACTTCAGGGGATACCACCCCTGCAATCCCTCGGGGGAGGGGGGTAAAGGGATACCCCTCCTCTCCTCCAATGAAAGGATACCCATGTCTTCTAATCTAGTCACTGAAACTCATTTAGTGAAGCGTTTTAATGTACGAGCTTAACGCTTCCCAAGAGCAATAATAATAATAATAATAATAATAATAATAATAATAATAATAATAATAATAATAATAATAATGGATATATATTATACTTATATGTATCAAAGCAACGTCTGTTTCATTGTTTTCGTATATGTTATGTTAACAAATAAATATTTTAGGCCAAGGCTGTGTGTATGTCCTCCTTTATGTATTATTCATACGTATATGTATACGTACATGTATACGTAATACAAGGAAGGTGTCAGGGTAAGTCTGGGCGCCCCACAACAACTTGGTGTATGATCAGCATTTGTGTTGTATTTTGTGTGGTTGTATAGTGTGGATGTATGCTGTGGGTGTTGTATTGTGTGGTTGTATGGTGTGGTTGTATGCTGTGGGTGTTGTATTGTGTGGTTGTATGCTGTGGGTATTGTGTGGTATGCTGTGGGTGTTGTATTGTGTAATTGCATGGTGTGGTTGTATGGTGTGGTTGTTGTATTGTGGTGATTGTATGGTGTGGTTGTTGTATTGTATGGTGTGGGTGTTGTGTGATTGTATGGTGTGGGTGTATTGTGTGACTGTATGGTGTGGTTGTTGTATTGTGTGGTTGTATGGTGTGATTGTTGTGTGGTTGTATGGTGTGGGTGTTGTATTGTGTGATTGTATGGTGTGGGTGTTGTATTGTATGGTGTGGGTGTTGTATTGTGTGATTGTATGGTGTGGGTGTTGTATTGTGTATTGTATGGTGTGTTGTTGTATTGTATGGTGTGGGTGTTGTATTGTGTGATAGTATGGTGTGGTTGTTGTATTGTGTGGTTGTATGGTGTGATTGTTGTGTGGTTGTATGGTGTGGGTGTTGTATTGTGTGATTGTATGGTGTGGTTGTTGTATTGTATGGTTGGGTGTTGTATTGTGTGGATTGTATGGTGTGGTTGTTGTATTGTATGGTGTGGGTGTTGTATTGTGTGATTGTATGGTGTGGTTGTTGTATTGTATGGTGTGGGTGTTGTATTGTGTGATAGTATGGTGTGGTTGTTGTATTGTGTGGTTGTATGGTGTGATTGTTGTGTGGTTGTATGGTGTGGGTGTTGTATTGTGTGATTGTATGGTGTGGGTGTTGTATTGTGTGATTGTATGTTGTGGTTGTTGTGTGTGTGATCATCACCTGTACCTCAACCACCAGTACCGCAGAGATTACGCTTGACGCTGGTAGTTGTAGTGGTGGTTGTTGTTGTGTGGTGGTTGATGTGATGGAGGTTGCTGTGTGGTGGTTGTTGTGGTGGTGGTTGTTGTGGTTGTTTTTCGTGGTTTTTGCGGTGGTTGTTATTATGGTAGTGATGGTTGTTGTTGTGGCTGTGTTGTGTTGGTTGTTGTGTGGTTGTGGTGGTGGTTGTTGTGGCGGTTGTTGTGGTTGTAGTGATGGTTGTTGTGGTTGTTGCGTTGGTTGTGTTGGTTGTTGTGTGTTGGTTGGTGTTGTGGGTTGTTGTGGTGGTGGTTATTGTGGTGGTGGTTGTTGTGGTGTTGGGTGTTCTTGTGGTGGTTATTGTTGTGTGGTTGTTGTGGTTGTTGTGTGGTGGTGGTGGTTGTGGGTTGTTGTGTGTGGTTTTTGTGGTTTGTGTGTGGTTGTTGTGGTGTTGTGGTGGTGGTTGTTGGTGTGTTGTGGTGGTTGTTGTGGTGGTGGTTGTGGTGGTGGTGTTGTGGTGGTGGTGGTTGTTGTGGGTGGTTGTGTGGTGGTTGTTGTGTTGTTGTTGTGGTGGTTGTTGTGGTGGTGGTTGTTGGTGGTTGTTGTGGTGGTGGTGGTGTTGTGGTTGTTGTGGTGGGGGTTGTTGTAGTTGTTGTTGTGGTGGTTGTTGTGGTGGTGGTTTGTGGTGTTGTTGTTGGGGTGGTGGTGGTTGTTGTTGTTGTGGTGGTGGTGGTTGTTGTGGTGTGGTGGTTGTGTTGTTGTGGTGGTGGTGTTGTGGTTGTTGTGGTGTGTTGTTGTTGTGGTGGTGGTGGTGGTTGTGTTGTGGTGGTGGTTGTTGTTGTTGGGGTGGTGGTGGTGGTTTGTTGAGGTGGTGGTTGTTGTGGTTGTGGTGGTTTGGTGGTGTGGGTTGTGGTGAGTGGTTGTTGTTGTGTGGTGGTTGTTGTGGTGGTGGTTGTTGTGTTGGTGTTGTTGTGAGGTGGTTGTTGTGGTTGCTGTGGTGGTTGTTGTGGTTGGTGGTTGTGGTGTGGTTGTGGGTGGTTGTTGTTGTGTGGTGGTTGTGGTGGTTGTTTGTTGCGGGGTGGTTGTTGTGTTGGAGTTGTTGTGGGTGGGTGGTGGTTGTTGTGGTGGTTGTTGTGGGTTGTGTGGTGGTGGTTGTTTGTGGTGGTTGTGTGGTGGTGTTGTGGTTGTTGTGTGTGGTGGTGGTTGTTGTGGTGATTGTGTGGTGGTGGTTGTGGTGGTGGTTGTGGTGGTGGTGGTTGTGGTGGTGGGGTTGTGGTGGTGGTGTTGTGTGGTGGTGGTTGTGTGGTGGTTGTTTGTGTGGTTTTGTTAGTGTTTGTGGTTGTTGTTTGGTGGTGTTGTGGTGGTGTTGTGGTGGTTGTGGTGGTGGTTGCTGTTGTGGTGATTGTTGTGGTGGTGGTGGGTGTTGTTGTGTGGTGGTTGTTGTGGTGAGTTGTTGTAGTGGTGGTGGTTGTTGTAGTGGTGGTGGTTGTTGGTGGTGATTGTTGTAGTGGTGGTTGGTGGTGTTGTTGTTGTGGTGATTGTTGTGGTGGTGGTGGTGTTGTTGTGCTGGTGGTTGTTGTGGTGATTGTTGTAGTGGTGGTGGTTGTTGTAGTGGTGGTGGTTGTTGTGTGGTGGTTGTTGTAGTGGTGGTGGTTGTTGTAGTGGTGGTGGTTGTTGTGGTGGTGGTTGTTGTAGTGGTGGTGGTTGTTGTAGTGGTGGTGGTTGTTGTAGTGGTGGTGGTTGTTGTGGTGGTGTTGTTGTGTGGTGGTGGTTGTTGTGGTGGTGGTGGTTGTTGTGTGGTGGTGGTTGTTTGTGGTGTTGTGGTTGTTGTAGTGGTGGTGGTTGTTTGTAGTGGTGGTGGTTGTTGTAGTGGTGGTGGTTGTTGTTGTAGTGGTGGTGGTTGTTGTGGTGGTGGGTTGTTGTAGTGGTGGTGGTTGTTGTAGTGGTGGTGGTTGTTGTGTGGTGGTGGTTGTTGTAGTGGTGGTGGTTGTTGTGGTGGTTGTTGTTGAGTGGTGGTGGTTGTTGTAGTGGTGGTGGTTGTTGTAGTGGTGGTGGTTGTTGTGGTGGTGGATTGTTGTAGTGGGTGGTGGTTTGTGTAGTGGTGGTGGTTGTTGTAGTGGTGGTGGTTTGTTGTGGTGGTGGTTGTTGTAGTGGTGGTGGTTGTTTGTGTGGTGGTGGTTGTTGTGGTGGTGGTTGTTGTATGGTGGTGGTGGTTGTTGTAGTGGTGGGTGGTTGTTGTGTGGTGGTGGTTGTTGTAGTGGTGGTGGTTGTGTGTAGTTGTGGTGGTTGTTGTAGTGGTGGTGGTTGTTGTGAGTGGTGGTGGTGTGTAGTGTGGTGGTTGTGTGTAGTGGTGGTGGTTGTTGTTGTGGTGGTGGTTTGTTGTTGTGGTAATGGTTGTATTATGGTGGAGTACGAATGATAATATTTTAACCAGTTTAAGGACTGGCTGAGTATACATACTATACATCAACAACCCCCCCCTTCCCATCCCCCTCCCCATCCCCCCCCCTCATCAACCAACCAACCTGGATAAGTAGATAAGGAATGCCTTCACTTCCACCTCCCCTCCCCCCACTCGCCCCTCTCCCAAAACACTCAACACCCCGTCCCCTCCCCGTCCCCTCCCCGTCCCCTCCCCGTCCCCTCCCCGTCCCCTCCCCGTCCCCGCCCATCTCTTCCCCCTCCAGATGAGGCTCCTCCGTCAGGACACCCCGCTGCGTCGGGACGTCTCAGGAGAGCAGCGGACGCCTTAATTGTCTTCATTAGCGTCCTTTACCTGTTGTGGCTTCTAAGTCCCCCCTCCTCCCTCCATTACCCCTTTCCCCCTCCATTACCCCTCCCCTCCCTCCCTCCCTACATCTATTACCCCCTCCTCAACCCCTCTTTCCCCCACATCTATTACCTTTCCACACTCCTCGCCTCCCCCACTTAACCCCCCTCCCCCCCCTCCCCCCCCCCTCAACATCTCCCTCAGTTATCAGATACGCTTCAGTTTATTTTAGTTATTGTTTAGCTTTTTTCTATTCTGTTGACGATAGATTAAGTTCTATTATATTCTCGTGAAGATAGATTAAGTTCTATTATATTCTCCCGGAGATCGAATTTCTAAATCGTGTTATGTCTCTTAGATATTTAGAAGAGTTTGAAGAGTCGCTTGAGAGTGTTGAATTAGAGTAGACGGCCTCGAGGCGTCAACAATGTCTGATTGGTTCCGCCTCTTTGTTCAGCGGTGATTTCCTTGTCCAGGCCAGCCTCTCTTTGTTCCATGATGTCTTTGTTCAACTCTCTCTCTCTCTCTCTCTCTCTCTCTCTCTCTCTCTCTCTCTCCCTCACACCTATTCCTCCCATGGTAAACAAATATATCTCCCATGTTGTTTCCCTATGGTAAACAGATATATTTCCCGTCTTCTGTTTCCTCCCGTAAGAAACAGATGTAAACACCAACTTCCGTTTCTTCCAACGGGAAACAGATAGCTCCCCTAAATTCAATTATTCCCTTGTGATAAACTTTAATAAGTAAAAGCTAGAACGGAGTATAAAACAAATTCTAACACACAAAAGAACAAAAGACTAATGTGAAGGATTTAGGAGTGATAATATCAGAGGATCTCACCTTCAAGGATCACAACAATGTCACAGTCTCGAGGAAAAAGGA